TATATATATATATATATATATATATATATGTGTGTGTGTATATATATATATATATGTATGTATGTGTGTGTGTATATGTATATACATATTCTTTTTTACTTTACAGTATTCAAAAGAACAATATGCTGTGGTTTAACTCATAAGAGCTTGTTTTACCAAAACTAATAACCCATGAAATAATGCAGTAAAGACTCAATAAATGTATCAATTCGAATCAGTCAGTGTTTCATTTTTTCAGCCTGTATATTATTACGTTTTTAAGTTACCTTCTCTACTCTGTGCAGGAGAAAAGACTCCAGTGCCTGTCGTTCATCGGTGTCAAAGAAAAAGAGTGGGTGATGGAGTCCCTAATTCGTTACATCAAAGTAATTGGAGGTCCACCAGGCAGAGAGGGCCTGCTTGTAGGCTTGAAGAACGGAGCTGTGAGTACTTACAGAAAATTAATTCTCATAAGCAAACATAAAAATGGCAGCCATTCCCACAGGACAGTTGGAATGAAGAAAACTTCTTTACTTTAAAAAAGAAGAATAAAGATGGCAATGTAAGTCACAACATCTGCTTATAGCATTTTGATTTTGCTCTGCTGGTCATTGTTTTTGTGACGTAGATCCTGAAGATATTTGTTGACAACCCCTTTCCCATAACGTTGCTGAATCTGTCAACATCCGTGCGCTGCCTGGACATGAGTGCCTCCCGCAATAAACTGGCTGTGGTGGATGAACATAACACTCTCCTGGTCTATGACATCAACAGTAAAGAACTGCTCTTTCAGGTATGCGGGCAGCTGAATGAGTGTGCCTGAGGAACCTCATTTGGCAGAATTTAAATTGCATTTCAAAGATGCAACAGAGTAGAACAAAACATGCGTAGTTGTTCATTATTTGCACAAAGTGCTGGAACACATTAATTTACAGTATGAACTCGGATAGGTCTGTGCTCCCAAGTCTGCATCTTTTCATTCTTGTTTCACCTCAACGTTTTCTTCATAGGAGCCTAACGCTAACAGCGTGGCCTGGAACACCCAGTGTGAGGACATGCTGTGCTTCTCTGGGAACGGATATCTTAACATCAAGGCAAGCGACTTTCCAGTACACCAGCAGAAAATGCAAGGCTTTATGGTCGGTTACAACGGCTCCAAGATATTCTGCCTTCATGTCTATTCTATGTCTGCTGTCGAGGTGCCTCAGGTGGGTTGTGTGTTGTAATGCAAAATTTATAGTATACCCATAGAGTCCAGCATGTCTTGGACATTACAAGTCTTTTGTTTTCTTACAGTTGCACAACTTAGAGGCAGTTTTTTTCTATCTAAAATGTATAATGGTTTCATTGCATGTATGTTTGCTGTACCCAGTCAGCACCCATGTACCAGTACCTGGAAAGGAAGATGTTTAAGGAGGCCTATCAGATTGCCTGTCTAGGGGTGACAGACAGTGGTTGGAGAGATTTGGCCACAGAGGCTCTGGAGGGACTTGACTTTGAAACTGCCAAGAAGGTCAGTCAGATGCACAAGTTATTCTGATTAAACTTATGTTATAATTCTATTATGTGTGTGTGTTCATATATTTCTCACACATCTATGCATGTAAGCTTTCATCTTTGGGTTTATGTTATCTGCAAGATATTGACACCAACATATCATCCTATAAGCAGCCAACTAAACAAGAACAGTAGCTATAGCCATGTCTACATGCGCAAATTTTTTTGACCGGATTGAAATGTTTTCAGATTAAATAATTCAAATGTATCGTTTATATGGGCACACTCTGTTCATGAAAAGCGTTTACATGCAGTGAGCTTTGTTCTGAACAGAAATACTGACATGCACAGAGTGGTAAACTCTCCTTAAAAAAAAAACACAGAAGAAGAAGTTCTACTTCCTGTTTACTTCCGGGATGAACGTAAACAAACCTGAGCGCCCAAAATGTTCCTGCGACAGGTTTTATGACGGTGGAGACGTTACTGCACTCCCTGACTGAGCTGCAGGTGACACAGATCATTTTGAGCTCTTTCTAATTTTCTAGTAGAAATGTTGTGTCACAGCATTGTGTTTTGCTTCCCCGACATGCTAATATTATTAGCATTAGCCAGATGGAAACGACAAAGTCGCACATGCACAGTCAGGTCAGTTTTTCACTATCAGATAAAAACGAACAGATCGTGTTTACATGCGCACCATTCGGGTTATGAATCGGCATAAACCACCCATTTCGTTCTGTTCACACATTATTTCGGATCACGCTGAAAAAACATAAAATAACCCGAACGGGGTGTTTACATGACGCGTTTTTATTCTGAACGGCTGTTAGATCCGATTACTCATGTCCATGTAAACATAGCTATTCTGATCACAAATTATTTCGGATCGAGCTGAATCAACAAAAAATAATCTGAACGGGGTGTTTACATGACACATTTTTATTCAAAATGGCCGTTTAATCCGATTACTTATGTCCATGTAAACGAAAGAGGGGTGGTTTAAGCCGATTCATAATCTGAACGGTGTGCATGTAAACACTTAATATGATCATTTTTTTCCGATAGTGAAAAACTGACCTGACTGTGCATGTACGACCTATGTCTACCTCACATATTTCCGCCTGGCTAATGCTAATAATATTAGCATGTCGGGGAAGCAAAACTGTTGTTGTGACACAACATTTCTACTAGAAACTTAGAAAGAGCTCAAAATGATCTGTATCACCTGCAGCTTAGTCAGGGAGTGCAGTAACGTCTCCACCGTCGTTAAAACCTGTTGCGGAAACATTTTGGGTGCTCAGGTTTGTTTACGTTCATCCCGGAAGTAAACTAGAAGTATAACTTATCCTTCTGTGTTTTTTTTAAAGGACATTTTACCACTCTGTGCATGTCAGTACTTCTGTTCAGAATAAAAGCCCGCTGCATGTAAACGCTTGTCGTGAACAGATTGTGCCCATGTAAACGATACATTTGAATTATTTAATCTGAAAACATTTAATTCCGGTCAAAGAACGTTGCGCATGTAAACGTAGCTAGTGTTGTTTTAACCTTGGTGTTTCTACACCAAGTTTGGGTTGTATTTGTTCTGAAAACACACTTATAACCATTTAAAATGTGTTTCTAGACATGGCACATTTTACTTAAACTGTGACTAAATATGTTGTGCTCTTGGTCTGTTGCAAGAGCTGAATGCATTTGTAACATCTGTAGCACATCAGCAAACTATTGTTATTACGCTGATGTTTATAATTTGCAGTTTTATTTTGGCAGATGAAAAAAGCATTTTTTGTTGAAGTTTTAAATACTACTCTAGCTCTGTAATAAGACTCAAGTACCATAAACTTCTCATGAGGGTTTCATTTTCATTGAGCCCTGGGTGTTTCAGCTCAGCTGTATGTTGCTTTCACAAGGAGAACAGGGAGCTCTGCACGTCGCTTTCAGACACATTCATGTGTTTCATGGCAGCAGAAACAATTATTGATATAAGCATTGTGGAGTGCAAAGAAGAGCAAGCCATCACTACACTACAATAAAGTTAAAATCATTTTTACACATGACGATGTCTTGACACCATCTCAGAGGGAGCTTTCTCTCCCCAACATGTTGTCAGTTTGAGATAGACCTGGAGGCAGTCTGTGCAGCTCCTGAATGGGTCAAATTTCTCCAAAGTCTGAGAATATTATAAACTCACACCTTCTTATCAGCTTCCCGTCTCTTCCTCCTCTTAATTGGTAAATGTAGTTCCATTGTATTTCTCTGACAGCCTGACCGATACTTCCTGTATTCAGGTCTGCAGTTGCAAAAATCCAACTCCTTTCGCAATATATTTTCAGTCTCCAAGCAACAAACTTGTGTGCAGTTTGACTGCATGTGCAATTCTCCCCTGCTCAGTGCTTTACCACCTCTGTGCTTCTTATGTGAAATCACCTTTAGAAGTGTGGAGCTGTTATTGGCTGAATTTAAGGAGGTCATTTAGGTAAAAAAAAAAAAAAACATAAAAAAATTATAGAACTAAAGAGGTTAATGACTTTTTAAGAAGCTGGTAATGCTAACAATTTACACCATGTGTGATTCTGAGAATCCGTACATTAAATCATCCCCTATTCCCTCCATTTTCAGGCTTTCATTAGAATCAGAGATCTGCGCTACCTGGAGCTGATCAACAGCATTGAGGTAATACCTATTCATCAGGGAAAAAAGCTACTTCAGTACTTGTTTTTCATGTGGTTATTTCTGTTCGGACCAGAACGTGTTCTGACAATCAAAGAACCAATCAAAAATATTATTGCGTTGTACACATGCTGTTGCTGCAGTATTTTTTTTATTATTATTACTGGGACTAAATTGTTATAAATTACAAAGATGGGACTTGCATTCTTGATTGAGCCTGCTGAATCCAAGTTACAGACGCTGGTAAACATTTGCTCACATTCACATCCCTGTGGATGCTAAGAAGAACCTCTGTATGAACTTTGCTGATTCTGCTCTGTTCCTCTTTAAAATGAGAAGAAACGTTTGAAAATGTGTCTCTGTCAGTAAAATACTGGGGAGGAAAAGAAGAATTATTCATAGATTTAAAAAAAGTTAATATATATTAGATAAAATATATGCATGACAAAGTAAATGTTTAACTGAATTTTCTTGAATCTTCTGAGCCAGTATAATTTATAGGACATTGTGTTGTGCTATGTCTGTTTGTGAACTGACATTCAGAGCTGTTGTCCAAGTGTGTACGTATGTGAAACTACGTGTATGGGACTGTTTATCTGCACACATGCCAGGATTTGTGTTGACTGATTTGCAGGAGAGGAAGAAGCGGGGCGAGAACGACAATGAGCTGTTCCTGGCAGACGTCTACGCCTTCCAGGGGAAATTCCACCAGGCAGCCGACCTCTACAAATGCAATGGCCACGAAGCCAAAGCTCTGAGCATGTACACCGACCTGCGGATGTTTGAGTACGCTAAGGTGATTAAAACACTGACAAAAATGCACAAAAAATTTAATACATTCATATCAATACAAACAAACAGACCCATGAAGTTCTGCATGTGTGGTGGGCTGGGAGCATATGTTTTCCTTCAATGTGTGCAGTTGTGCCAAGTTGGGGCCCTGTGCTGTGTTCGGACAGCCTCACTTAGCCGTCTGTCTTTCATCTCCTCATACTTATCCAGAATCTTAACATATATCATGTAATAAATACACAGATGTTGCCTTTTTTCCATACATACCCCTGTACAACTTGGGTAACTCATTTATACCCTTGTTCAGCTTGATCCCGAGCACAAATGAAGGGAAGTAAAGCTCTCATATAACAACTTTATTGAAAACGTCATTTGGAACTGAAACTAATTCATTCTCTTTGATGTTGGTGTGTAGTGGGGTCGCAGTTGTAATCATAAGGATAACATTCACAGCTGGAGCAGATGACACAGCTCTGACTTGTTCATGTGTGTTTCTGCATGGATCAGATTTTATCCTTGTGATGTTGTGACTGTATATTTTTGTGACTGTGAGTCCAGCTGCTCACAGAGCCTGTTTGTTTTAGGTAGGAAGGAGACCAGAGGAAAAGGCCTGATGTTTGTGTGACTCTTCCTCTTCTCTCAGGCCTGACTTTCATAGAGCTTTCCATTTTATCTGAGCTTCTTTTCACCTGCCTTTTGATTATTTTTATCATTCTAATGGTGATGTTAATGTCCCACTTAAATAAAATTTGTGCTTTAATATTTTTTAACATTCTTACATTATACCACACAATTCAGTTTAGTTCAGTTTATTTATATAGCGCCAAGTCACAACAGAAGTCATCTCAGGGCACTGAACAGAAACATTCATATATAAAAATAATAATTTAACATTAATTATCTGAGGATTAGACTGCTTTGAGTTTAACTCCATCATGGAACATGAAGCATGAAGGCGACAGTGGAAAGGAAAAACTCTCTCATGACGAAGAAACCTTTAGCAGAACCAGACTCAGGACAAGTGGCCATCTGCTTCAACCGATTGGGTTTCATAGGAACAGATGCACAATGGCAGGTCAAGAATCACATGTTAAGATAGAAATAGTATCAAATGAAAACTATTCAATTTTAACAATTCATTTAAGGAAATTAGATCAATTTGTCCTCTAGTAGTCTATAGCAGTATAACAAGCCAACCCTAACAATAGGATTTATCAAAAAGGAAACTGTCAGCCTCACAGACAGAAACTGGAAGTTGGTTCCACAAGAGACGAGCCTGATAACTGAAAGATCTGCCTCCCATTCTGCTTTTGGAAACTCTAGGAACCGCGAGTAAACCTGCGGTCTGAGAGTGAAGTGCTCTGTTAGGAAAATATTGAACAACAAGATCTCAAATATAAGATGGAGCTAGGTTGTTGAGAGCTTTGTAGGTTAGAAGTAAGATTTCAAATTCAATTCTGGATTTGACAGGGAGCCAATGG